GTGGTATTTCGCTGGTTTTCTGCTGGACTGGCCCTCGTGGTGTCTTCATAGGTGTGGGGGAAGTGTACCTGTGACCCTCGAACTGGATCAGAACCGAACCGAGGTGGCTGTGGGAGATTTTGTCTTCAACAGAGTCGGTCTCAGCTTCAGTGAGCAGCCCATTACTTTTACCGAAGGACTGTCCACCTCTGTGGAATTGCTGTGTTCACCTGGAGGAGACGCTCCGATGCTTTGAAGCGCCGCCGGACCAGGCCGCTAGACCGGGCCGCTAGACCGGGCCGCCGTACCGGGCTGCCGGACCGGGCCGCCCGACCGGGCCGCCGGACCGGGCCGCCCGACCGGGCCGCCGGACCGGAGCAGAATCGGGCCAGGGACATCTTCAGCTTCTTCGTCTCTCGTGCTGTGGAGCGCTAGAGCCGGACTGGAGCAGAACCGGACCAGACCAGTGTCGACTTCAGCCTCTCTGGTCAGTCTCGTTTTTCACCGGGGGTGCCTCTCGTGCTGTCGGGTGCGGAGGTGTCGTGCAGAGAAGCGGAGGAGCAGCGTGAAGGAGCAGAATGAAGGAGCAGGGCTACGTGGTGCTCGAGAGAAGTTCAGAGTTTGTATCGTAGTTGCTCAGGCCTCCATCCAAACTCACCTGGATAATAATTAATTTTATTCTGGATCACGCTGTTGGCCCCTGTTGACCTGAAACGAGCTAGGACCATGCCTTTCACTTCAGGAGGATTTTCTGGCAGCTCGCTCTGATATTTGCTGCGAATTATCTGTTTCTGTTTTGGCCTGTTGATTCTGGACCCAGCTTCTGTTTCCCATGGGAGCATCCATCCATCTTCACTGGGGGGCCAGAGCCCCCCTCAGCCCCACTCAAACTGCAGTTGGGCCACCTCATCGGGTTTGTTTGCCCATTTGAACTGTGGCGTTTTATGGTCTGAAACTTTTCTGCATCATTCATATTATTGTCACTATTTTCAGTTCTCAGATTATCTGGAGTCACTGAATCTTGTTAATACACCTGAATCTGCCCATCACTGCAACTTTCACTGTTTTTGGGTCCTGAATGATCGCGTCGTCATTAATGTTTCTCATGGTTCGATTATTGGGGCTAATTGTCACACTGTTAACTCCTGTAATTACACTTCAGACACAAAAAACTCAAGAAAATGTTTGATAATAATGTTGTTACTGCTCTCAGGGATTCAACCCAACCCTGGACCCCCCACTAATTACAGCACACCAAATGACTTTAAGAACGTGTCTGGGCTTCATTTTCTGCATGTAAACGCTCGTAGCCTTCTGAGAAAACTTGATGCCTTGAAAATTCTGGTCAGTTCTTCTGGGACAGATGTTATCTTCATCTCTGAAACCTGGCTCAACAAATCTGTACTGAATAATGACCTGGCAATCAATGGATTTAACATCTACCGCTGTGATCATCAACAAAGGGGGTGGGGGGGTGGAGTTGCTGTTTACATCAGAGATTCTTTGGTTGCTAGTCTTGTGTCTTTTAAAACAATTCCAAACCAGTTTGAAGCCTTAGCTGTAGACATCACCTTGAATGGAGGCCAGATATTATCTGTAGTCTGTTGTTAATGTCCACCTTCAGCAACACCTGAGGCTCTGTCTGCCCTGATGGAATTACTTGGTAATTTAAAATTCAAAGAGATCCTTTTGGCTGGACCTCAACATTGATTGGGGTAAGTCGACCCCCCTCTGTGATAAATTCAAGGAATTTTGCCTATCTCTCAATCTTACCCAATTGATCAGGTGTATTTTCCAATATCTTGAGTGATCATTGTGTGACAGCGGCTTTGAAAGATATTAAACTTCCACCTTCTAAGCCCAGATTAATTAAAAAAAGGGATCTGAAACATTTTTGTGAACAGTCATTCCTCTGGGATCTGTCTCACTTTGACTGGCATCGTATTCTGTTAACTGATGACGTGAACTCTGCTTGGAACTATTTTCATAATAGTTTAATTTATTTGGTGAACAAACATGCTCCTTTTCATCAGTTCAGAATAAAGGGACGAGACAGCCCCTGGTTTACGCCAGAGCTAGCTGACCACCTGCACAGGAGAGACCATCTTTGGGCCACAGCGAGAAAATCTGACACAGACAATGATTGGTTGAGTTTTCGACAGATGAGGAATAAATGCACAACTGCTGTCAAAGCAGCAAAACGCAACTATTTCTTATCTCAGACCTCCAAAAATCTAAATGACCCTAACAGATTCTGGAAAACCATCAAACCTCTCTCAGGCACCCCCCAATCATTGGACCTCCCATCACAACTTCTCGTGAACTCTGTTCCTGTGTCAAATAAGCACGAGATCCTGAACTGTTTCAACAAACATTTTGTTGCTTCTAGTTCTTTATTTGACACAGTTACTAATGGAAAATCAGCCACTTCACTTAATATCCAAACTTCTACAAGTCAAATCCTTCCTACAAGTCAATCCTCAGTTAATCACACCTTCTCTTTTTCTCCATTCTCAGTCAGTGAGGTCAATAAACTGTTAAAAGATCTTGACCCTAAAAAATCTGCAGGTCCAGATGAACTTCCACCTTATTTCTTAAGGCTGGCTGCTCATATCATTACAGTCCCTGTGACCCACATCTTCAATCTCTCCATAAGACAAAACTCCATCCCAGACACTTGGAAAACAGCCTTTGTTCTTCCTTTGCTGAAGGGAGGTGACCCCACCTCACTGAACAACTATCTACCAATCTCTAAACTCTGCATTTTAGCCAAGGTTCTAGAAAAACTGATAAACTCTCAAATCAAAAATTACCTGGACTCATTTAACATCTTACCTCCACATCAATCTGGTTTCAGGAAACAACACAGCACAACCACTGCTTCACTGAAGGTTCTTAATGACGTTGTTGAAGCACTGGATGCTAAGGATTATTGTGCTGCACTTTTCTTAGACCTGTCTAAAGCTTTTGACACTGTGGATCATAACATCTTGTGTCATAAACTCTCAGAAATCGGTTTCTCAGAACACAATATTGGTTGGTTCTCTAACTATCTCTCAGACCGGAGGCAATGTGTTCAACATAATGGTACTTCCTCCAGTTATTTAACAGTCAACAATGGTGTACCACAAGGCTCAGTCTTAGGACCCACCCTCTTTACAATCTACATACATAATGTAGGTAAAACATCCCTAATGCATCCATACATTTCTATGCTGATGACACAGTTGTTTATTGCCAAGCTAAAACTGTTGCTAAGGCTTTCCAGCTTTTGAAATCTGCATTCAACAACATCCAGACTGATTTGTTCCGCCTCAAACTTGTCCTAAATGCCGACAAAACCAAAGGGATGTTTTTTTCAAATAGAAAGTTGGTCCCAGCAGTTCTTCCTCCGATTTTATCCTCAAATGGTGTCCCCATTGAGTTTGTTGATTCCTATAAATATTTGGGTATCTTGGTCGACTCACATCTCTCTTTTAAGCTCCATGTGGAAAACTTGGTAAAGAAACTGAAAGTTAAACTGGGTTTCTTTTTCAGAAACTGATCCTGTCTAACCCTGAATGCTAGAAAACGCCTTGTATCTGTGACTTTCCTTCCCTCCATTGATTACGGTGACATTATTTACATGAACGCTCCTACAAGAACCCTGCAGATGTTGGATGCTGTCTATCATGGTGCACTAAGATTCATAACTGGCTGTGATTATCGTACCCACCACTGTACCCTGTATTCACTGGTTAACTGGACATCATCAACTTCACGCAGACTCTCCCACTGGTACATTTTCATCTTTAAATCACTTCTTGGTCTGCTGCCTTCATACATCTCCTCCTACATGTCTCTGTGTGAGTGCAGCTACAGCGTGCGCTCTCAGGACATTATTACCTGCAGTGTTCCCTCAATGAGGACTGAACTAGGCAAAAGGGCCTTATCCTACTCCGCTCCTGTATCCTGGAATATTTTACAAAAAGATTTGAAGCTCTCGACCTTGACCTCTCTAAGTGGCTTTAAGAATCTGTTGGACTCCTGGCAGGGACCAATGCAGATATGTTCCTGTTTTTAGTTTTCTACATTTGCCTTAGAATCTAGATGATTTTTTGTTACCTTTTTCTTTTAGCCATCCTATTTGTAAAACAAACAAACAAAAAAAAAACCTGCAGTATTACTTTTTATAATTGTTTATTGTTGTTGTTGTTGTCCATTGTTGTCATCTTTCTTTGTTGAAATCAGGTCTCTCTTGTAAATGAGTCCTCGAGGCTCAATGGGATTTACCTGTCTAAATAAAGGTTGAATGAATGAAAAAATGATATTCGTAGCACTTTGACATATTACATGAAAAGTGTTAAATGTTATTTATTAGCATTAGTCACCTGCGATGCTGTCTCACTTGTGGAGGCTTGTTCTGGGTTCCTAGCTGCAGACTGGGATCCTCTGCACTCCTGTGCATGAAGGACAGCCTTTTTAATTTCAAAGTTTTTGTTTATCCATTGTGCCGTAAGACTAATCATGCTAACGAGGCTAACACGACGTCCAAATGTCTGTGATAAAACTCACCCAACAAGTCGTGCTATCGGCTGTTAGCTTCTCAATGACATCGGAAATGACAGTTTGTAAGTCGGATAACGTTACGTTGGAAAAATATCTGCAACTGGGGATGATGTAACAAGGCTCAACGTAATACATAAACCTTCGGAATCCGACATCCTCACCAACGAAAAATAAAACTTCCACACCGCCAACATTTCGAATTTTCCTCTCTGCCGTGAGCTCGGGTAGGCACATGTGATGTCACCGCGTTGTGCTGCCGCTGCAACGTCCTCACATTGTGCTGCCGCTTCAGGAAAAAACAGAGTCTTATATATCGGCGAGTTATTTTAATGGAATGGCAGATGTCCAATATTGAATTTTAACGCTAATATCGGCCGATACTGATACCATGCCAATAATATTGTGCATCCCTATTCTGAATAATATTGTTAAAAATATACTTTCTCTCAATTTGTTTTTATCCAATTAATCAGGATGCATACATGGAAGAGGAAGGACCAAGAGGTGATATGACAATCCAGTCAGGGTTGAGTAACTCGACAGAAAGCATCGACAGCATGAAGGCTCTCACTGCTGCCATAGAAGCTGCAAATGCTCAGGTTTGTATCTTTACATCTGGCTACTGATAGCTAAAATCACAGTTAGTGTAAACTTGAAAACTTTGTGTTGTGCAGGCCAAAACTTTGTGATTTGTACTTCAAAGATATTTATCTAAAAAAGTTAAATCTGGTCCTCTGGACATTCAAAAAAACAAAACAAAGCAAATCAACAAAAAAATGTAGAAATGTTTCGTCTCTCATCCGAGAGACTTCCTCAGTCTGAGGAGCTGTATTCAGCTCAGTCTCTTAAATAGCACCGTCTCAGGGCGGATCAACCAGTTTTGCTGCTGACAACCAAAACCAGCTGATCACATGCTCAAGAAGGACCATCAGCATAACAATGGATCATTAGCACACTGATGGCTGTTTACTGTTCACAGAGGGCTGAGTGATACTAGCAATCACAGCATTGTAAGAGGGAGACAGTTGAACACGTAGGCCTCCACCCCTGTTTAATGATGGACGATTTCTTTTCACAAAGATGGCCTCCTTTACTCCTCTCTCAAACCATCGTTCCTCTCTGTCCAGGATGTGAACATCTTCATCCCTGAAAGAGTGACCGCTGGCCTGGAGATGAGTGTAGACCGCAGAGTCCTGGCCTGATGATGTTGATCTTCTGTGCTGGGCCATCCTTTTGGCCAGTGGCTGTTTTGTTTCCCCGATGTAAGACTGATCACAGCCCTCCTGACACTGAACAACATACACAACATTGCTCTGTTTGTGCCGGGGAACTGGATCTTTGGGATGAACCAGTCTTTGCCGTAATGTATTTTGGGGTTTAAAAGCCACTGGGACGTTATGTTTAGAAAATAAACGTCTCAGTTTCTCTGATACTCCCTCAACATATGGAATGACCACTGGTCTGGGTCTGGGTTCCTCCTTTTCACCTGTTGGCTGACTGGAGTCCTGTTTGGGTTTCTTCTCTGCTTTCAGGAAGGCCCAGTTAGGATATATAGAAACATGGGTGTGCTATGGGGTCTCCAGTTTCTCCTATTGTTGCCAACCTGTACATGGAGGAGGTAGAAAAGAGAGCCTTGACGTCCTTTTCAGGGACACCACCAAGTCATTGGTTCAGGTATGTTGACGACACCTGGGTTAAAATCAAATCTCAGGAAGTCCAACATTTTACTGACCACATCAACTCTGTGGATAAATACATCAAGTTCACACGAGAAGATGTAAAAAATGGCAGGTTGGCTTTCTTGGACTGTGAAGTCTCAGTCTCTGATAGAGGACATTTGCAAACTGAGGTGTACCGCAAACCCACACACACAGACCAGTATTTGCAGTTTGACTCCCATCACCCTTTGGAGCACAAGTTAGGAGTCATCAGGACTCTGTATCACAGAGCAGACAGCGTCCCCACTAGCTCAGGAGCCAGGCAGAAGGAGAAATCCCACACAAGACAGGCTCTAGAGCAATGTGGATATCCTAACTGGGCCTTCCTGAAAGCAGAGAAGAAACCCAAACAAGACTCCAGTCAGCCAACAGGTGAAAAGGAGGAACCCAGACCCAGACCAGTGGTCATTCCGTATGTTGAGGGAGTATCAGAGAAACTGAGACGTTTATTTTCTAAACATAACGTCCCAGTGGCTTTTAAACCCCAAAATACATTACGGCAAAGACTGGTTCATCCCAAATATCCAGTCCCCCGGCACAAACAGAGTAATGTTGTGTATGCTGTTCAGTGTCAGGAGGGCTGTGATCAGTCTTACATCGGGGAAACAAAACAGCCACTGGCCAAAAGGATGGCCCAGCACAGAAGAGCAACATCATCAGGCCAGGACTCTGCGGTCTACACTCATCTCCAGGCCAGCGGTCACTCTTTCAGGGATGAAGATGTTCACATCCTGGACAGAGAGGAACAATGGTTTGAGAGAGGAGTAAAGGAGGCCATCTTTGTGAAAAGAAATGGTCCATCATTAAACAGGGGTGGAGGCCTACGTGTTCAACTGTCCCCCTCTTACAATGCTGTGATTGCTAGTATCACTCAGCCCTCTGTGAACAGTAAACAGCCATCAGTGTGCTAATGATCCATTGTTAGGCTGATGGTCCTTCTTGAGCATGTGATCAGCTGGTTTTGGTTGTCAGCAGCAAAACTGGTTGATCCGCCCTGAGACGGTGCTATTTAAGAGACTGAGCTGAATACAGCACCTCAGACTGAGGAAGTCTCTCGGATGAGAGACGAAACGTTTCTACATTTTTTTGTTGATTTGCTTTGTTTTGTTTTTTTGAATGTCCAGAGGACCAGATTTAACTTTTTTAGATTCTTCTACCTGGATTATTGAGCATGCATCAGGATAAAGATATTTATGATTTTACAAAATAATTCAGCCTCACTGAACCTAACTCATGGTGTTATTATTTCTGTGCAGGTCCACGGACCGGCCAGTCAGCATGTCAGTAACAGCACCATGATGGTCAGCACACCCAACACCTCAGTCCTGAGCCGGCAAGTTGTTGTTGAAGACCACTGGGATGATTACAAGAAAGAAGCAGTCAGGAAGGGCAAATGTCTCTCCATAGGAATCCAGGTACTGCAGGGTCAAGTTCTGAATTACATTAATATTTTTTGCCCAGTGTTGAAGGGTGATAACGCTTCTACTCATGTCTGTGTGTATATTTGTTGTTTATTCGCTGTGTTAGCAAAACATTTCATGAACTGCTGAACAGGTTATAATTCAATGCAGTTTATTTATATAGTGCCAAGTTACAACAGAAGTCATCTCAAGGCATTGAACAGAAACATTCATATATATAAAAAAACAAGTTAAAATTATTTATCGGAGGAGCAGACTGCTTAGAATTTAACTCCATCACAGAAATAATAAACCATCATAAAATAATTAGCACAGATCTACAGCATATTATCTTTCAGAGTCCATCCATCCATCCATCCATCCATTATCTTTACCCGTTTATTCCATTTTGGGTCACGGGGGTCGCTGGTGCCCATGTCCAGCAATCACTGTGCGAGGGGCGGGGTACACCCTGGACGGGTCGCAAGTCCATCACAGGGACACATAGAGACAAACGAGACAAACAACCATTCACTCTCACTCACACCTAGGGACAATTTAGAGTTACCAATCAGCCTAACATGCATGTTTTTGGTCTGTGGGAGGAAACCGGAGCACCTGGAGAAAACCCACGCATGCACGGAGAGAACATGCAAACTCCACCCAGAAAGGCCCCTGGACCGGGGTTTGAACCAGGGACCTTCTCACTGAGAGGCAGCAGCTCTACCTGTTGCGCCACCGTGCTTCTTTCAGAGTCAATTTAGTTCAAATTTGCTGCCACAGCTTATCAGAGAAATTGTCATAGTCAGTTTTTCTGGTATTTTATTACTTCAAAATCACTCAGGTGCTTCCATTTTACCAATCACCTCTGCTCTATATAATCAGTATCAGTATGCAGTGTTTCCCCTAGATAACTTCCCACGGTGGGGTGCTCATCTCATCCATGATTTTTTCGACGGGGTTGTACCGACAATTTTTGAGCTGGGGGTAGACACAGACACACAGCTGAGCTGCTGTTGTTTGTCCTGGCAATTGTCGAGTGTGGGGGAGTAGGGTTCATCGTGAGGGAAGGGGTATTGTGAGCAGTGCTACCTTTAGATTTTTAGCTAGTGCACCTGTATTGCATGCTGCTAGCTTAACATTACACCAGTGCTGATGGGTGGGCTGGGGTTTTGGTAGGCGGGATGCTCGATTCTGTTAATGGGGTGGGGCGCCCCACCTGTATATTGGTAGGGGAAACACTGGTATATAGTAGGGGTGTAACGGTACACATGGGTGTATTGAAACGTTTCGGTACGGCCTGTTCGGTTCGGTCCATTTGTGTACCGTTTTGGTTATTTTTTCACTCATTAAATTTTATTAACGAGAGATTATGCGCTGCGGAACTAAAATTCCTAAGCGTGTTTCAGCACGGTGCTATTATCTTGCAGCACACGCAGCATTAGCAGCCTAGCATCTTGATGTGGTCTCCTGTTTGGGAACATTATGGCTTTCTTGTTAAAAAACAAGTGAACAAATCCAAAGCTGTGTGTCAACGGTGTTTCACGGAGATTGGATCTGCAGCAGCAACACGTCTAACTTGTTAACGCGCTTGACACAACATCATCTGAACGTGAACATCTCTTCTAGCAGCTTGTTGCAAAGACCATAAGAGCAGCATTTAAACAACCTTTATCAGGTCATTCAGATCAGTCCAAAGCAATAACACAAGCTGTAGGAGTTTTTAAAGCTCTGGATCTACGTTTCTGTTGTTGATGTGCCGGCTTTAAAGTTATTGAGTCCCTCTACAGCATCCCATCACATCAACACTTCAGCCAAAAATTTGTATCAGCACTTTATGTAAAAGATAAAATTGATCATCAACAAGCCCTGGAGCCCAGATTAAAGTCTTGCTACATGATGATGATGATCGAGAGATTCAACCACCTCTTAACAGAAATGATGTCCATTCAAGAAGAGGTATTGTTATTTTATTATTATTATCTAATTAACTTTTTTAAATTTAAAATTATAATTTTATTAACTCTTTTTTTTACCTCTTTGTGTTTTATTTCCAGTGTGGGACAGAGATAGCAGCTGAGTCTTCCTCTTCAGGGAAATCCACCAGAGATCACCTCCAGCTAAGAAGTCTGTGATGACTGAACTCTGAACTTTTCCAGAGACAGGTGGGAGCAGGTCCAAGAGGTTGTGAGTAATGAGGTCATACAGCCACACTGCAAAATTAGCAAAGTGCTACCTCTATTCCTGCTACCTGTTGTTAGTGAGCGGTTTTCTCCACCGCTAGAGATATTCTCTGCAACTAGATCTGTGCTTTTGGCAGAAAATGTGGACAAGTTTGTCTTTTTGGCCAAAAACTTAAAAACTTGATTAGTTAGATTGTAAACGGTCTGTTGCTGCTTATTGTTCTGTTTCTGACTGTTATTGTATTGTTAGGATAGTTTATTTATTGTAAAGAGTGTTGTTTATTTAAAATATCATCCAAATGGGTCACTTTTATTTGTTTTTATACAAACATATTGTTTATGTGGCATTATTTCAAAATAAACATTTTGTAAGTCTTCATTTTGGCCCTTTTCGTACTGAAAATTAACTGAACCGAGCCTTCCTTGAAACTGAACAGAACCGAAATGTGATTTTAGCGTACCGTTACACCCCTAGTATATAGCTATCCCTGGTTCACTACTCATCACTTCTGGTTTACCATTAACCCATTCACGATTCGAATGATGTTTCAAGAGTTTTCTTCCATTTTACATCACATTTCAAATCAGTTTCCTTTCCTTAGCAATGTGGAATCGCAGGCCCACAGGGTATCGACCAGTAGTAGTAGGTAAGCCTACTGCTAAAATTAAACCCCAGGTTCACCATCAACCCATTCACATTTAGACTGTTTCAAAAGATTTTTTTTTCCCCATTCTAAATCACGTTTCAAATAAGCTTCCTCCCCATAGCTGTCCTGAACCACAGGCTCACTGGGTGACAGTCCAAAGAAAACAATCTTATGAAAATAAACACAGTTACTTTACCAGAAAAAAGGAATAAAATAATTAAATGTAGTTTATTAACAATTAAATCTATTTCCTCTAAACCCCTGCTAGTTAATGATCTGATAACTGATCAGCATACTGATTTATTCGGTCTGACGAAACCTGGCTAAAACAGAAAGATTTTGTAAGTACAAATGAGTCCACATCACCTAATTATTTAAACTTTTATGTTCCTAGGACAACAGGTCAAGGCGGAGGTGTAGTTTCTATTTTTCAGTCGGGACTATTGATTATTACTAAACCAATTATTACGTCATAGTCTGCTATTTTTGTCTGTTTTCTTTGTGTTTATCTTGGCTTTATTTCCTTTCCTTTTCTGCAATAATTTGTCCTCTTGTCTGTATTTTTTGTTTATTCTTCTCTTGGTTCCTTTTTCTCTTCCTGGTGTTTTCCCTCCATCATGTGGTCTGTCAAAGTTACACAAAGTCCATGCTCAATAATCCAGGTATACAATCCAACATTTTTCAGTCAGGTCATCTGGACATTTTCTTATTTTGTGCTGAAACGTTTCGCCTACGATCCGGAAGGCTTCATCAGTCAAGGAAACACACAGCACAAAACTGATTATTCCCCCAACAGCTTACTCAAAAGTGGAACAAACCAGTTATGTTGGTGCTAAGATGGTCTCTTTGGCACGCCCCCTCCTCCATTGCCGGCCCTCTTCCTTGATCTCTCACATACTTACACAGTCCCAAGATTTTCTGCAAATCATTTTCAGATTCAGGAGGCTGAATCTGTTCAAGTTTTTCTCTGTAACTCTCTGAGAACCCCAGGTCAGCTGTTACTTGGAACTGCCCAAATTGACACTTTTTCAAGTTCAGTTTCAACCCTGCTTCTGTGAATCTCTGCACCACTTTTGTTAGTTTTTCTAAATGTTCTTCTTTTGTGTCATCTGTGATAAACACATCATCAATGTAAACTGTGGCACCTAGGTCTTTAAGCACATCCATCACAGCTGACTGAAATACATTTTGAGAGTTCTTGTATCCTTGTAATAACCGCTGCCAGACATAGAGTAGCTTTTCCCTTTGTGTGTAAAAGCTGTTTTACCTTGTGATTGTTTAGCTTATTTTTGGGTTGATCAGACTCTCCCGGTTGGCTACAGTTCGTCGGTTGAGGGCCTTGAAATTGATTACTGGTCTCCAGCCCCCTCCAGCTGACTGGTTTCTTTACTGCTTGAACGGGGCTGTTAGTAATAACTTCTTCTCTGATAATCCTTAGAACACTCAATTCCCTTACAATTTTGTTCATTTCCTCCACTGCTCCCGGATTCAGGGGATATTGTCGTACAGAGGGGTGTACTCCTCCTTCGATGAGATTCACAAACTTAGGACCAAGGTTCCCACAGTTATTCTTGAACCTAGCCACTGAGGCCGAGTCAATAATCTGCTTCAACTTCTCTTTCCCAGCCGGGGAGAAGTCACTCTCATCTAATTTTTGTTCTATCACTTCAGGGATGTTTACAGGCTTATACTAGTCTTCAACTTCATGTTTTTCACGAGTAGGCCCTATTTTTACCAACCTTGACTTGAGCTGATCCACATGCCTAGAGCATGGCAATCTTTTTTTGGCTTACTCAAATCTTCATTCTCTTTTTGTGATGAGATTATAGGGTCCTTTTACCCATACAATTCCATGCCATATCCCATAAGACGTTTTGCCCACGGTCCCATTAGCCAACTGAACTGTGAGGTGTCCCATTGTCTTTAGGCTTTTGTGGGTCATAGACACCTCTGCCCCGGTGTCTATCAGGTAGGGCTCTCCATCCACTTTAGTGTAGATCTCGTCCCCATCCCAATAGGCATTTTCCAGGGTGACTCGCGGCCTTTCAGCTATTATTTTGCTGGCCCTCCGCTTCCCTTCAAGTGGGATTCACAGAGGTCTTTCTTTTCTTCAGGTGTGAGTTTGGCATATTCTTCAGGGGGCATAAATTTGCCCCACTTCTGGGGTGTTGAGGTTGATACGGGA